TTATCAATTCCATTTAAAAAGTTTCAAATAAAATTAAAAAAAAATTATTATCCTCTTCAACTGGACTATAAAGTAAGAAAAGAAAAAATTAAAAAAAAAAAGAATTCATGTTTGAAGAAAACATTTCGGTTATTTACACTGTAAGACTCTGAAGTCGTCAAGAAGTTTTTTTGCAAATAAAAAATAATACAATTAATAATTTTCTATACAACTTAAAAAATTACTTAAACAAATAGTTACGGCATACCTAAAGGTTTGTCAAAAGTATCAATTAGTGTATCCAGTACCAGATATTGCAAAAAATAGCCAGTTCTGGGTACTCGGAATAACACAGTAATACTACATACCTGAGTCCAAGTCAAGTATCCAGTAAACCTCTACACAAAAGTATTGTCATAAGTATTTTATAAAATTTAAACTAAAAATATATACCTTTAAAAAAACATTGAAATATATTTCATGATTCAGTAAATAACCTTGTTGTGATGTCACAGATATAACAATAAAATAATAACAAGTTTTATTTGTTTGCAAAATACAATGGGTATTTTTAAAAAATTTTTACTCAAAAGCAAAGGGAGATAAAATACTTAAAAAAATTTATAATTACACAAACATTTACTGTTACACAGGTAAAGCAGTTTAACATTTAATGTTACATGGGACATCAGAGGCGGATCCAGGATTACTTGGTCTTTGAGATAGCTAACTTCCAGACATGGAGCAAACTCCAAACATCTATATGCTCTTCAAAAAATTGTGATGGTTGGAAAAAGACCAAAAATCCCCCCTTCTTACTTTGCTTAAAATGTGAGAGCAAGTTGATAAAATATTATTTTTACTATTCTTAACTAGATTTATATTCATTGATAAATTTTAAGTTTCATAGTATAATATCTCAGCGTTCAAAAATTATGACCATATAAAATTTGTAACCTCTTCAAATTGAGGGAGTTCAAACTTTATATGGTCATAAATTTTGAACGCTGAAGTATTATACTATGAAACTTAAAAATTATTGATAAATATAAGTCTAGTTGAGAATAGTACAAAAAATATTTTATCTGCCCCTGGATATTACACAGATAAGAATATTAAAATCCAAAAATCAGAAAAGTTGAATCAGCAGTTGATGAGGATGATATGAGGATTATAGTTGATGAGGATGATATGTGACAATAGAAATGATAATATGTGATTAAAAACATTTGTTTTGTGTGTACTTAACATGAATTTTAGTACTGATAAAATATACTTTTGTTTAAAATTACCTTAAATTTCTTTACAAGAAACAATTAAAAAGTAGTTATTTGAAATTGTTTCAGCCTGAATCTGCTGATTCAAACTGAAACAAAATTAGCATCAATAAATCAACTCAGATTATTAAAAATGTTACTCATTTGCTTTTTTTAGGTTTATATATAAAAGTTTAGGTTTATATATAAAAGTTTTAAAAGTTTATTTATATAAAAAAAAAATCTGGAGCTGAGAATTAAAAGACTTTTGAGAAAAATAAAAAGCTGACAAAAAATACTTTACTAAAAAAAATAAAAAGGATTGAGAACCTGAAAAAACTGAAATTTACTAAAGTAAAAAAGGCTAAAAAGGCTTAATATGAAAGAAAAAAAAAAACATTTCAATTAAACAATAGCTTTAAGTTTAAAAATACAAAGTCTTTACCAATGAAGTCAGCCAAAACTTCCTACTACATGTAAAGTTAAAGGTTTAGCAGACTATGTCAGTTTTATAATTTATTGAAAAATAAATTAAAAACTGCCAAGTGATATCAGCAAAAGGAATAAATTAGTGATTAATTTATATTACAGAGCGGACATTGTCTGCACATTGTAAGCTGAGGCCAATATGTTTCTCCGCGCAGCAACCTTGTTCTTCAAAGTTTACGTTTTGGAGTTATAGAGTTGAGAGAGGGTTATAGCCAGGCTTGTGGAGCCGAACCGAGCTGGAGCCATGGAACTTCTGTTTTTTGGTGGAGCTGGACCACAAAAATTGAGTGGCTCTTGGATCTTGTGTTTTTTTTGAAGTGAATAGAATGTATGTTTGTTTTTTTTACTGTAGAGAAATTTTATTCATTCATTTTTTAACTAATTTGTCAAAATTAAAAATATTTTTTCTAACAGTTGCAGTCTTGCCAAAATGTAATAAAAACAAATATTTTAGCAATTTTAAACTCAAAAAAATACTATCCCTAAATAGCATTTCTTCAAATATTTTATTGAAAAAAAAAGAGTAAAATATCCCAGTGGGCACACATTGTCCAGAGTAGCTCTGTCAGACATATCACAGACGTCCCGACGCCCATAAGATATCCATTATACATTTCCTGGACAACGCATACCCACTGGGATATATGGAAACATTTTTACAGTATTAGATATATTGCCTTATATTACATTTTTATATTGATATTAGGCTGTTAAATAATTGATGCATAACTTAATGATCATTAAATCATTATTATTAATAATAATTTTATTCATTTAATAAAAATTATACAACCCAGTGGGCATGGGACGTAAGAAAGACATCTTTTAAAAGTTTTTTGAACATCTTTTGAACGTTATAGATGTCTTTAAAATGTTCAAAAAATGCCATTATTAGGTATTGTGCCGATTGGGTAGAATTAGAACTAAAAACACTAGTTTCGGTTAAATAATATATAAAAAAGTTGTATATACACCCAATACATTTTTCTTTTCAAATAAGAGTAGAGATAGTAACAAATTAACCTTGTTATCATGAAAGTTAGTTAAAAATTAATTGCTGTAATTGACTTGGATTTGGGTTAGCAAATGTGATAAAAAAAATATTTCAAAATTTGTGATTATGGTGGGAGCTGATCTGGAGCTGAGCTGTAAAAAAACATTTCGACTATACAAGCCTGGTTATAACTACAATTAAAAGTAGCCTTCTCAATTGCAGTGACCTTCATAGGTTTGGGAAGGTAAAATATATATATATATATATATATATATATATATATATATATATATATATATATATATATACAAATATATAAATATATATAAAGCATTGCACATCATAAGCTACAGAGGTTTCAGTTCATTAAAACCTCTATATGTCACAGAACTTAACTCTAAATTTCTTTATTTTTTTACCATCAACTTTATAAAAAAATTTTATTACTTTATAAAAAATTTTTATTGAATGCTTGTCTAAAAATATTTATAAAAAAAAATAGTCATTTTACCATCTTATAAACTTTTAAACAAGTTAAAATTACAAATCTAGTCTTATGCTATTAGACTAAACCATCATATAATAAAACATATAATTAGAAATATTTTACAACTTCTCATCGAAAAAGGCAAAGTCGCCAGTACAAATGAAATGTATGAGAATGAGAAAATATGTGTATTCATGGTTTTATTTTATTCTATAAAACCATCAGTGATACCTACTCAAAAAAATATAATAATAAAGTACAAGCTTTTAAATAATACTTTGATTTTGAAAAATGGCTAAATTTGATTGATAGTTTGCATAGAATAATGATAAAATGTATCCTAGCAAAATAAAGCTAAAAGAAGTTAACATTATAAAAGAAAAGTGTACTTAGTTCACTCTTTACTCGAGTATGTGTATTTTGTTAATAAAATAAGAATTGTAAAAAATAAAGTTATTTTTTCAACTTAATAAATTAATAAAAATTTATACATACACATACTTAACACAAATTTAATAATAATTGTATTATTATTATTATTGTTAAATGTATATAAAAATTATATATATATATATATATATATATATATATATATATATATATATATATATATATATATATATATATATATATATATATATATATATATATATATATATATATAATATATATAATAATATATATATATAATAATATATATATATATATATATATATATATATATATATATATATATATATATATATATATATATATAATTTTAATTTTGAAGAATTTAAAACTCAAAACTATATTTTGTATGCAACAACCAGCTCCTTAGTAAGTATGTGAAATAAATATATTTTTGAGAGAAACATAATGAGAAATATCATTGCCTACTATGATAACTATAAGATATGTTTTGCATATTTCAAAAAAAACATTTTTTATAACAAACTTTATTTTAGAAGCGGAATTATTGCTAAATTGTAGCAATATTTAAGTGAAGTCAAAAAAAACTAAAATTTACATACCAAAAAAACATAAGTATGCATAGTTAAACTTTTTAGACTAAAACAAGCTGTAGGGTTACAAAACTTATAACATAGGTATATTATATGTAGGTATATTAATATAGGTTTTTCATATAAGTATATTATAATATAGATATATTATAGGTTGTCATAGAGAGCATTTTGACCTTTAAATAAAAGTCAACCTTTGAAAAGTTCTACAATGCTATTAACTTTGAGATGCATTGGATACAAAATTTCAATATAATGAATTTGAGGAAATGTTTAAGGAAATAGTAAATTATAAAATTACACAATTTACATTTTAGGCATTTGGGAAAAAATTATTAAAATGGTTATAACTAATCACTAAAAGAATAATTATTAAAAATATTTAAAACAAAATAGTAATGAAACTAATAGATTTGTAATTTTTATCACAAATTAAAAAAAAAGCAAATTAATATCAATCTTGTTTTCACATTAAATTCTTACAAGTTTTCAAAATATACTATATATTCTTCTAGCTTTTTTTTTAAACTGTTTTTTACCTGTTGTTGTTCTATTGATAATTTGCATGCTGAGACCTAGATATCTATATGAATATGCTCTCTATGACTACCTAGTATACAATAGCTACACTTCTACACATACATATCTTATATAAGCTATAAAAATATTACTGTTTTTGTAAATACTAGAGTAATTGCCATAAATATTTTAACTTTGCTAGAAATTATAACAATAAACAACTATAACAAATGAAATTAAAAAAAAAAATTAAAAATTGATAATTATCTTACAGGTGAAGATGAGGAGTAAACTTCCACATCTAAAGTCATTTGTCCTATTTGTGTACTAGATAAATACTGAGGTGTTTTTATCAATGAAGTTTCTAAGCTTGTTTCATTACATATGGACATAGCCTCACATTCACCAGAATCTGAAACATTTGCATTCGTAAATACTAATCTTGTCATATCAATACTCTTTGATATTGGGTTATTAATTGTCCTACTGTACTTTTTAATTTCCGAATTATTATGCATTTGTCGAGCAATTTCATGCAATTTATCAATTTCTGTATCTTCTCCTGCAGACTCTTCAGCTAAATCTATGTCCCCCATTTTAAATTTCGGGTTATGTTTTTATATTTTAAAAATATATCGGAACTTTTTTTTTTTTTCTCGATTTTTAAAATTTTTTGATCATCTAGACCCATCAAATAATGTTTTAGTAGTGGATTTGCAGCGGACCTATATCTAAGCCTATATCTCAGGCATCTGAACGGCGCTTTGGATTTTTGCTCATCGTTTAGTGAACCATTAGCGACAGCCGCTATAAATGACTCTCCGACATGTTAATAGTGGCTAGTCATTGACCGGCTACTTTTATTGGACCTATCATTTTTATAATATAATATAATAGTGCTGTACACTTAATAAAAATACACTAACATACAAGCATAATAAAAGTTTTAACTTAAATTTAGACTTTATTTTAGACAGCCACCTTTGGTGGCTGCCAATAATGGTCCACAAAAAGTAATAAAGTCCTAAAATAATAAACAAAGTCTAAAATAATGGTCTACTAAAGGTCCAAATAAGGTGGCTGGCCGATTTTATGAGTTTAAACTACACTGGAACTTTTAATTGTGAGGATGGAGGAGAGGAGGTTGGGGGATATTGAAGTATTTTTGTATTACATTTGCGTCTCCTAAAGAAAAAAAGGTCTTTTATTTCTAAGATATTTTACAACTTTTAGATTTTTTGGGGGGAGGGGTGGGAGGGTGAAGGCATAAAAATAGTTAAAAATAAATACAAATGCAAACAGAGTCTTGGTTTTTGTTCTCCTAATAATACAAGGAACGTTGCCTAAACTAATGCAACTATTTTTTTTTTACGGCTTTTATCTAGTTTTTGTGAAAACGGAAAGTTTTGAAATTAAGTTTGCTCTTAAATGTAATTATCTAATGTAATTAAAAAACTTTTTTTTTTTTATCAATTTAAAAGTTTGTCCCATGGAATGCGTTTTTGGAAGCTGTAGTGAACTCTCCATTGCTTTCAAAGGAAAACCTACAAACTTAATTTGCCGACAAATGGGGGAATTCTTACGAATGTAAATGCCCAGGCCAAGCATTTGACTAATAGAGTCTTTACAAATTAAATGAAGATAACTGGTAAAAATTACAAATTAAATGAAGAAAGATTGGTAAAAAATTGGAAGTAAAAGTTAATCCTAGAAGATGAAGGGCAGATGACTCATCGAGTACATTACTGTTCATAAATATAGAAAGATCTAGATTATTGTAATAATAATTAGCTGAAAAAAATTGAGTTTTATCTGAGTTAAATTTCACCAGCAACTGAGAGCCCCATGCTGTAGCAGAAGTGAGACTCTTTTCAAGCTTAAACGCCCACTACAAGCAATCATAGAAAGTTGGCTTCTTATCAAGACAAGAATAAATGGTAGTATTTTAAGCAAGCAATGCCACCTTAGATATTAGAATTTCTGGGAAATCAGTAATCTAAATTAAAAAAAAGTTTAGGGCCAAGGATAGAACCTTGAGGAACCCCTAAAGTTACAGCGTATGAAGAAAAATGCTGTTCATGTAGAATAACTTTTATACTACGATTGGTAAAAAAAGATTAAATAACCTTAAAGATGTTACCTGATACACCATATAAAGAAAGCTTAGGGGGGGGGGGGGGAAGAATATGCCAAAATTTATCAAAGGCTTTAGAAATGTCAATAGTGATAGTCTTAACATCTCCACATCTATTTAATGTACAATAAAATCTATTGCTTATTACCATTAAAAAATCAGCAGTAGAACAAGAAGACCGAAATCCACACTGATGATCAGAAAGTAAGTAATTAGATTTAATGAGAGATTAAGTGTTTGTTAATTAGAGACTCAATAATCTTGCTTATGATAGGAAGAAGATTAATAGGACGGTAGTAATACGAGTCAAATCGCTCTCAGAACTTTTAAAAATAAGGATAAAAAATGCTGCTTTCCAGCAGAAAACACTTCTGCAAGACTATAATAGTCATGTTGTCCTGAAACCAAACTGTCGAATAGTCTAAGCAAAAAATCAATTTAGATACAGAAGCTGGAGTGATACGAATGTCAAGCAATTGATCAACCTTTTTTTCGACAATATTAGGTAGAACGCAACTAATGGAATTAAGAGATGATAATGATAAAAAGTTCTTAGCAAACAATTCAGCTTTATCTTTAGATGAGATGACAAAATCTAAACCATATAAGAGAGGTGGAATGACAGATTTGCCCTTAAGGAAATAAAAATTTCCATGTCATTCTGAATCCACGTAAAAAGAAAATCACGTAAAAAGCGCGTTTGTCAGCAGGAAGACAAAAGATTACTACCCTAGGGCCAACACAAAGAAAATAAGGAAAGAGTTTTAGTCAGAATTCTTACAAATGTACACGCCCAGGCCAAGTATGTGACTATTAGAGTCTTTAAAAATTAAATGAAGATAACCATAAACACCATAACCACAAAATGAGACAGCAGAACTCATATTAGTCTTACAAAAAACAAGTAGGTCTGGTGAACTTTGCAAGAGGTAAGACTTAACAGAAGAAAAATTACTTCGAATACCACGAATATTAGGGATAGACTTAGAGAACTTGGTGAAAACAATGGATTTTTGTGTATTATAGTTTTTGGTACTTTAGTTGTTAGTTAAAGTTAATTAAAGAGCTTGACTCAAAGCACAAATAGTACTCAGTACACTATTTTATTATCCAAGCAATTTCCTCATTACTATTTATAAACCCTAAATCATTCAAATAATAAAAAGCCTAAGCCAATCGAATAATAAAAAGCCTAAGCGAATCAAATAATAAAAAATCCTAAGCCAATTAAAAGTGAGTTACTAAGTACATCAAATGATGATAAGTTTTACTTTAGTCACACAGCTGGCTCAGTGGTTGTTGCACTTTATGTCTTTATTGCAAGTAGATTACTCTTCCGCTAAATAAACTATTTAACGGAAATAAAACATTACATCATTAACAACCAATAGGACGATGGTTCGCAAAAAAGTTCGCATTTTACCAGTTCGCAGTTTGCGGTTCGCAGTTCGCATTTTACCTAGTATCATATATTGTTGCACATTTTGTTGCACATACTGTTGCATATATTGTTGCATATATTGTTGCATATATAAGTGTTTTTGTTCTGACACCGTCATTTTTTTTTTAATTTGTTATTTTAGGTGCCCCAATAAGTCCTAACGGTCTTGTCACAGAGCACCGCGGAAGCGCATTTAACCAGAAAGTTCACGCCTCTTTTCTTACCGTAACGCGAAATATGTCCAAAGCTCGTTTCGAACCTAGATCTCCTGCTTATAAAGCAAGCGCTCTAACCACTGCGCCACGGCCGCAAACTGGATGGATTGTCATTATGACAATCCATCCGAGGTTTAATAGTTCCTCTTAATTTTAACCACGTTAGAGAGCACTATGAATTTGTTAAAATTTCAGTGCTAGTAATTTATCTGAAAATTTCTTAAACAAAAGCAAATTTTATTATTAATTTAATATCACTATTATATTTTTGGTCTCACTTTTGCCGCAATCTAAATACTTCAGTATATTTTTGCACTTAGTTGTGCATTTTTTTATAATTTTTACAATATCAAACTACAAGGCAAGCTTAAAAAGCAGCTAAACTACAATCCAATTCAGCTGCTTTAAAACATTTGTAGACACATATCGATAACATTTCTCCCAATTTTTAAGCGCACTATTAAATTTCCTAAAGACAACAAAAATTGTTTTTTTTACCAATAAAACTATTTTAACCGGCTACATATATTAATGCAGATTAAAATTAGTATATATTAATGAGTTAAAAACTTACGCCAGTGTTCGCAAACCTGTTTTGCGCACTTAGGCCATTTGGTACTAATGCAGATCCGGATTTAAATAAATTTTTTCAATTTTTTCATTTTTGATGAGCTTTGGCAATAAAGAGAAATCACAATTAAGTATTAAAGACAAACAAGTGTGATCATTAACAACAGCAACAAAATTTAAAATGACAACTATCAAATATGCATTAAAATTTAAGTTTAAATAAATTAAATTTAAAGAAAACGTAAAATCAATGATATATTTTTACTAATCTCTTTTGCTTGTCAAGCAGAATCAGAATAACGCATGTACCTAGAGTAAATTAATAACACGTGCATATTAAGTAAAATAACAACACTATACATAAGGTAAAATAACAACACGTATATATTAGGTAAATAACAACACGTATAAATTAGGTAAAATAATAACATGTATATATTAAGTAAAATAACAACACGTATAACTAAAGTAAAACAATAACAACTATACATAAAGTACAATTGAAAAACTGAAAGAAAACAAAAAAAAAATACATTTAAAAAACTGAAACTCGAAACAATTTCTTTGAAATAAACTATTGTTAAAAAAATATAGTAAAAAAATTACAGCAGATTTTTCATTAATTATGGTATTTTTCATAGTCTTTCTGCAACTTATAAATGTATGTTGAACTCTTATAGATGCACTTGAATACTGCCCGAATAAACTGCAAAAAAAACAATGAATTTAAATAAAGCAAAAGACTTTTCATTTTTAACCCTTTTCAAGCATCTTGACGAACAACAGCAGCGTTTTTTTACTTGCTATTTTGCTGAATGACCACTTAATGCTCGTTAACTAGCTTAAAAATTTTTTAAATGTTTTTAGTAATTCAACTAAAGGATCTATTTTGAAAAAACAATTTAAATTTAGCTTTTTTTATCATCAAATCTCAGTGTTGAAGGCTCTAATAGTCACACACTTGGTTTCTTCCGCATTAATTTGCCGCAAAATCAGGTTTGAATCCTCTGGCTGTTCTATATGTGTTTCCGTTTAACACTTCTTAACTCAATCACTTTTTACATTGTTTTTTTATGTCTCTCCTACTTTTCAAGACTACACTCTTCTAGATGTAACTTCTGACCAAATTTAACAAGATCTTTATCCCTCAACCAACATTGTTATTATTGATGGCATTTGTTTAGTATAGTGAGCATTGATGCTCACTATACTGAATAACTTGTTTCTAACACAACTGACCTATCAAACACTAAAACCTATAATTATGTGTTTCTCAATCTCCCACTCAAATAGTTAACTTTGTGACTCTTTTTCCAGACAACCCTTGTTGCTTACCTTTA